ACACATGACCCAGGTAACAGTATGCAACGTAATGAAGAAGGATTTCCATCAGAAAAGAAGGGTATGTGTTCATCAAGACAAGGTTTTCCAGTCATTCATCCTATTCACCACCATATACCTCATACAGCTGGAGAAGGAAATGGATATTCATGCTATTCCATTGAAAAAATACTGGTCAAGTTGCCAGATGTAGCATCTATGAATTTCTTTGGGATTGGAGTATTGAAATGGGTGCTACATGAAAAGTTTTTATGACCAGATTATGTCCATTATAGTTAACCAGAATGAGTATGAGAGATGTGACAGAAATTACAACCTGAATCCATACATGTCTCACAAACACAGTTTTGTTTCTTTGGTCTTCTGTTTAATAATAATAAAGAAATATAAGTAGAGAATAATCCCATAATCACTCAGTTTATTTGTGTAAAACACACATTTCATATATATGTATATATCATTGATATTCAGATGTATTTTCTGCTTTTGAAAAATGTATGCTTTAAACACAAATGATGTTCGTAAGTCAGTGGTGAAATGATGTATCATTTTATTTATTTATTTACTGTTGCAGTTGTACAAATCATATAATGTACTTGGAAAGGTGATAAAAAGAAGTTAAGTATAAAACCTTGCTTGTAATATAAATGTAGCTAAAAAAAAGGACTATCAAGGATACAGAGAAACCATAAAACATTTTATTTACAATATTGAAAAAAAGCAACAGACTAACAAGAAACAACTATTCTGACAAATAACATTTATATTAAAGAAATATTCACCTGAGTAACTAACATTTTTTTTTAAACATAATGCATGTATATCTTGTACTGATGTTATGGAACAAGCACAGGTGATAAATATCAGTCAACTTCTTTTACATAATTGAATGATAACAGCAAAAAACAGCCTCATGTAAGAATTTTTGAAACTTTTTTCTATTTCAGGTTATGTTTGTGGCTGAGGTAACAAGTGGAGGTGTTGCCTTAGATGACATCAGTATTTTGTCAAATGTTTGCCCATCACAAGGTATGTGGTGTTATTTTAAATGAACGACTTGTAAGAAATAGTATATACATTTTCGATCCAATTGTGTGGACCCACATTATAGTTGTGTATTTCTGTTTTGTAATCATTTGATGTTTGTTTTTATACTAGAGATTCCAAAACTATTAGATCATTGTGCATTATATAGTTTGTAAAGAATAGTTATTTTGACGATATTTTGTAGTGTATGTGAAAGTAGTCTTTAGGGTAAGTATTATGTTTTAAATAGTTTAAGCTTTGAGAGAATGTATTGAGTCACTTGTAAATTTAAAGTTCTCTGATAAACATCAAAAGAAAAAAATGTTTTTGGTGTTGTAGATATAAACAATATGTATAAATATATATATATATATATATTTATATACACACGTATATTGTTGAAAAAAATGTACCTATACTTCTAAATGTAGGCATTTTATTACAGTTAAAATAATAAGAAATAACTAAAAATATCTTGCCATCTAAAAGACTAATTTAAGTCTCATCATTAATATTTGGTAATTTAAAATGTGTTTGAATTTACTGTGTAACCACTTGGTGGTTTTGAATAAAATAGAAGTGAATAATATTTCTTTCTGAACTTGTTGCCATTATAAACCACGGCTTGAACATAACTTATTAACATGTTTACTTTTAAGAGGTTCTGGGCTAGAAAAAGAAAGAGCATTCATGTTTTTGGAAATAAAGAATTATTTCTTTGCTATGTCAGTAAAAAATGGGATTCATTTTTAATTGGTCTTTTTGAAAGTCCTTGTTTGCAAAACACAGTTTTATTTAGAAACTTTCACCACTTTCACAAAAGTGTTGAGCTACATATGATGATGTACAGAAGAGATTGCTATTGTATTATAATAAACAATCCATTCAGTACTCAGTATCCACCTGCTTAGCTGGTAGTTGTAGCCTGTACTGGTTTTAAAGATTACTAATTGAAAGTTCAGTATTCATGCCATGTTTTTGTATTTAAAATTATTCATTTTGTAAGACTAAAATTCAAAATTTAATGTTGCAGATCAGGATATACATTCAAATCTGAAAAGGATCATAAAGTGTATAAGTGCATAAGAGAGGGCATACATTAAAAACAAACATAAAGCTCTGAGCACAGACAGTGAATACTTCTCATGTTAATTTTTTTTACTTTAACTTGTGATACAGGATTGGCTGTTGTTTTTATTCACTAGTTTATAGATTTGTTCCATTTGAAGTATTTATTCAGATACTGTCAATGTCTGGAAGGTTTATGTTAATTGCTATTTATCATGCATGTGGGATATTAATTACTAAAAATTATTTGTATTGCTAGTTTTATAGTAGAATTTCTTTATTGTAATGTATTTCTTAATCTTTCTTTTTTGCAATCTATTAGAATTACGATTGTATTAAAATATTTATTATTAACTTGCATTTAATGTTTTTTTACTTCATTTTGGTTCACTATATATATTTAAAAGGTATGCTTTTATGTATATATATATTTTTTGGAAAGTAGAAATCTGCACTTTTGACTCAGAAGATATGTGCAACTACAGGCAAGATCCAGCTAACTATATCATCTGGGAGTTGAAATCTGGCAGCAGTAGTGATGTTCTGTTTAATATTATTGATCACACTACAAAGACTTTAGCTGGTAGGTTACTGTTTATTGATAAGAATCTAAAAAAGTTTTATCTTATTCAGAATTGGAAGTACCTAAAGAAAAGTAATTATTTTAGCCTGCTAAGCATAACCAATTTGACTTTGAAATTGTAGATAAAACTTATGAGTTTTAGATCATATGAAGCTAGAAATAAAATTGAATGTTGTTTCTATTTTCTTCACAAAAAATATAAATGTGATTTATTAGAATGTTGTAACATTAATTTACATGCAGTTTCAAAATCTTTTCTTTTACAAACAGTATTTTACACTTTTTTAAAGATAAGTACTAACAATTAAGAAGATGTGCAATTTGATTAATTTTGTGAGCAGAAAATTGCATACCCAGCTCTGCACTTGATGAAGCCCAACATATCTGGTAAAAGTCTACAAGTAAAAGTGACTCTCAGTCCATAATGAGCTTTCTTTTTGAAGCTCTTCTAATGCACTTTAATTGTCTTACATTAAAAGTTTTGCAGGTTACTTTAAAGAGACTGCACTCATCCATCTTTTTTTTTCTCTTGAAAATCTGGAAAACACTCACAATTTGGCTAGAAATGAGCAAAATCTCTGTGAGGACTTTCATGAGCATTCATTCTTCAAGAATATTGTTATAAGGCAGGAAGTGGATTGGAAGTGAGGAAGTGTAGCAATCATATCGAGAAACGAGGAAAAAGTGGCAAAGCAGTTGCATCACTTCTTATTCAAAGCAGCCCATTTCACAGTAGAGATGTGGTCAAAATTTTACAATCTGAATTTGATACAAATTAAATTTAATGATAATACTGAATTTTGCTTCTACAGAAAACTATATTCTACATCAAGAAGTAAGAAATATTCTAAAAATGTTTTAATTATGAAATACGTCTCTAACTCTTATTCTAACCCTAGTATAAACTGGAAGTTAAATGACATGAATCAGAAAATAGCAGGAAACATAAACAGCAGCAATATCTTTATTCTCCACATTATAGCTGGATATTTTTATAGGAAACAAGCCAAAATGCTGAAAATTGTATTTGCAATCTTTGACTTGTAGAATTTTTTTGTGGTGCAAGTTTTATTGAAACTCAACTATTTACAACAGCTACTGCAAAAAGCAATATAGGGGTTATTGTATAAAATATTTTTATTTTTCAAGTTTAAATATGGAAAATTTTAATATGAATTGGTTTGCTTTTGGACTACTAAGTTAGTATGGCAAGTTTGGTCTGGATCAGGCAGATCATTTAGGGGGAGAAGTGTCTTCAGACAAACAGAAAGCTTTCCTTGATAGAAGATAGTTACCATAGTTAATATGTATAGTGCATATGTGAAGAATGCCTGTGCCTCACTTTGCTCACCATAGCTGGATGAAAATAGTAGTATTACAAGTAACATTGGGCATAAAAGCCTCTATATTGTAACTAGTGAAACCTAAAATAGGACTGGCAAGATTTGTGAACAAAAGTCAGTATTAGAGTTAGTGTTCATGTAGTATTGCATTTAAATACATAGAAAAAAACAGAATTTTTTTACAATAATTTCTTGAATGACAGGGTCAACAGAAACAAAATGGAGGATCTTTATCTTTTATCAGGGTAGGGTGCTGTTCTCTGAAAAACAAATTTGCATATCTAAATAAGGTTATTATAAAAGTCATGTATAAGCATGTCTAAGGTAATTTCTTGTTGATGATGTTTCTATTTGAACATTTTGACTTCGGTATTATTTCTGAAAAATTAGAAAAATGAAATCTACTAATGAGAAAGCAAAAAAGAAAATTCATCATCATTTATCAGAATGTTAAATCCAAATTTTAGAGTTTTCAAACTAGTTATGTAATAGAAAATATCTATGTACAGTATTTCACAACATACAAAAATATCTAAACAATGCAAGTTGAAAAGGGGTTGAAATATGTTTAAAAATGCTATGTGTGTATAATGGAATAAAATGTTATATTAATGAAAACAGTTTTTCAGTAGTCCAAATTAATCTCTTACATAATATTCTGAAACAAGAGAGAGAGTATGCTTTCAAAAGCTAAGAATAAAATAACTTATTAGTTATGATTGATGTTGAACATCATTCAGAGTTCTTGTGTGGCTTTGAATCATATGTAATTCACCAACACTTCAGCATTTCATGGTGACAGAGAATACAATTTGGAAGGCACATGTACACAGAAAATTAACATGCACTTTTGAAAACTCCTGGAGGAAGTTAAATCTTCATCCTTTGAGTGAACTTTAACAGCTGATTTGGAAAGTTTTTATCTTTACTGGGATTGTCAGCACTTTTTTGTAAGTTTAGGAAAATCGTTTTTTACCCAACATTTAACTTTGCTATTGGTAATATTCACAGAAAGAGAGCTGTACAATGAAGAATGTAATACAAAAAGTTAGATTTATTGTTTAAGATTTTTGTAGGTGTTGTGGTAAGAAACAATAGTTTTATTGTCAGGCTCTAACTAATACCTTTTTACGAGTTATACTTAAAAATGTGTTTGTTATTAGGGAATTTCTTGTACCTGAACCTGGAGCAAGCTGGCAAGGAAGGCAAAGAAGCTGGACATTTGGCAAGAATTTTTTCCCCAGTGTATGAAGCAACTGAAGGAAGTTGTGTATCATTCTGGTATCACATGACTGGAGTAATGAAGGAAAGTCTCAACTGTTATCAGTACACTTCATCTGGTTTGTCAGATCCTATCTGGAGCACTGAAGGTGATCTTGGACAGTACTGGTATGGAGCAAGTTTCTCCGTATTATCCCCTAAACTGCCATGGCAGGTGAGTGTTTTATTAATGGTATTTTAACTAGGAATGGATTATTTTATTTTAATTTATAAGTGCACTTCTTTGTCAGGCTTGCTTTTTCAATAGGAACATGTAACTGTACATGAGAACTGAACATTTAGAAACTTTATGTAAAGTTTGGTAAACAGAAAGATGTATAAAGTGTAAAGGTACTAAGTTTTTTCTTATTTGACAAAATTAAACATTTCCAGAACAGGTTATTTGATATTATATTAGCTGCTTTGGAGTTTAAAGTTTGGTTCTTAAAGTTTTTAAAATGTTTTGAATATTCAAATGCTAGAATAAACTATTAAATTACAAATATAGAAATTATAAATGTACCTTAAAAATACTAAATAATGAAACACAAGATGAATGTTCTAAAGAAAATTGGGTTTTTATAAAGTGTGTTCATATATAAAATGAAATGTTTCTACTGTTTAAAGTAGAACTTAATTCTGAACCAAGAGAAGATTTGTTATTGTTGCCAGATGTTGGAGAATTAGAATCATAGATTAAGTGTGGTAGTTAATAGGTTTTAGTAATGTATATTTTTAAAAAAATTACACATATGTTATGTTAATACAGGGTGGGCCATTTATATATATATATATCTAGCACAACAACGCTGAAACAAAAAAAGTATGTTTTTATTATATTGTAGTGAAGTACAAATATAGGAGTTTAGTACAAAAAGACTACTTCTTTAGAATTACATCCATTAAATGCTGTCCATCTGTCATTAACAAACAATTAATGAAATTGTCACCTTCTTTATATTTATCAAGAAAACAACAAGAAAAAGTTGTATGCTTTACAAAATCTGCATCTTGAAGTTTCTGTACAATCTGGATTATGTGTGGCCATAGGTGCGGATCTTCATGGAGTATATGTCTGTGTTACGTATTGAGAATTTGAAATAATCCCAAAGCCGCGTTAAATAATTTGACGTTTAATAGCTGAACGGTACTCTGGATTTAGTGTTTAGAAATATGTCGATATTTTATTTAATTTACAGTATTCGCCAACAAGATTGATTCACACCGTTTTTGTTTTGAAACAAATACGTTTTAATATATATATATATACAATAGTATAATTTACAATAGCAACTATTATGATTAATTATTACAAACCAAGTTTCATGAACAGAAATTTCACTAACTTACGAATAGCCTAAAGTTGTTCTCCTAGTACAGAGTCTCCTTGATATCCAGCGAGTTGTACGTATATATAATTGGCGGGAAGCTAGCTAGCTTTGTCAGGCACTAAATTGTTGGACCGTTGAAGTAAGATAATATTTTCACAAAATCACTAATGTCCGATGAGAAATTAGTAATATTCTTGGAGAGATATTAACATTTGATGGGAATTCACTGACATTTGAAATTTATAACTGTTCCTGGTCAAATGTTGTATATTTTCCGGTTGATAGGGCTTAGCAAAATCACAGTTTATAGCTTACACATTTATAACAGTTTCATAGTAGACTTGTCTCTTCTCAGTTGTCTGTTGTTTTTTTGACGTGATGCCCTGCTCTTTTTATAGGTGAAACACATCTTCTAGAACCTTCTAATAATGTCTGATATGGAAATGGATATATTGTTGATTCTTTCTGTTCACGAATATTCTATAATCTTGGAGAATTGGCGGGACTTTCGCCATACATAATAACACAGTAAGCTAAACACGCCCTCAAATATAAACTTATTCGAAACAAACGTTGATATTAAAATAAATATATAACAAATTCGTTATACGCAACACATATCTGATACTACAAGTCACGCATATTTCTAAATACAAATTCAATCCAAACAACATTCATATTAAAAATAAATACATAATAATAAATTCGTTACAGTCTGACACTTGTTCTATTAGCACCACTTGGTGAAGATCCTCATGGAGTATATATTTGACACTTGTTCTGTTAACATTCACTTGGTGAAGATCCTCTTGGAGTATACGCCTGACACTTGTTCTGTTAACACTACTTTCTGCTGAAAGGTGACAGGTTGGCTTCTTAGAACTTTGTCCAATAGCTGCAGTTATTGGAGCTATGTTTTCTTCTGTTTCCACTGTGGGTTGTCTCACGTGCTTGGATGGACAAATACTTCCTTCTTCATGAATTTTTTTAACTATAGAGAGAATAGTGTTATGACACAGAGCATTTCTGTGTTAAAATTTCCTTCTGAAAGCTATGTGAGTTGCAACAATAGAGCCATATTTAAAGCAGAGTTCCACAATTTTAATTTGTGTTGGCACATCATAATGATTCATCTTTCAAATCTTCAAGGATGCACCTGTAACAGACAAAACATTATTCAAGTTTATAGTTATGCTTAGATTTATCAAATAACAATGGGCCACATTGTATATGCTAAGTTCTTAGGCTATAATGATTTGCAGATGAAGAAAAAAGCATTGTAGTTAGTCACATTTATATTTAAATGTAGCAAAAACAAAATGCAAAATATCTTGTTAATAAATCACATATCACACAGATCTGGGTGTTAAGAAATAAAGTTTAGGAATAATAATAAATTATACATTACTAGTTGATGATAGATATTAAAACTCAAAGCCATGTTCAGGATATTAAGTTTTAAAGTTGATGTTAATGAGCTTGCAAACTAAAAACAACTTTTAATGAGTTAATTTTATGTTGAATTTAACTTTTGTTGACAAGGCAAGACTTTAGTGTTTCTTAAGTCACTCTAGCTTCTTAAACTTCTAGCAGAAGATCAACCTGACATTTTGTGAAAATATTTTCAACAGCGTGAAGAATGCAGAGTAGTATTTGTTTAGTTTTGAATAATAGTTTACTTAAAATATGCAATACTTAAAGGAGATCATTATTCCAAATTAGATATGTTACTTTAAATATTGATATGTTATGAAAATGTATAACTCAATTGTTGTTTATTACAATTTAACAAAAAACAAGAACTGTCAAACCATGAAAGAAAAATTTCTTCACATCATGACAAGCTGTTGATAATAAAGCCAATATTTTTTACCAACATTATTTAGAAGTCTGTCAACAAAAGTTGTGAAACCTTGAGGTGTCTTTAAAGCAATTTCTTGGCCATTATTAGACTAATAGCGCATAAGTGTAGTTTTGGTGGTTTAAATGTTACAAATTTTTAACAGTTACTGCATGGTCAAACTTAGAATAAATCACCAAAAGTTTTTGAATTAACAAGTGAAGTCTATTGGAAACCTAATTTTTGGGGGTATTTTTTTCTCATTAAATTAAAAGGCATATATGTAAAAAAAAATCCTCCTCCCAAAGTTAGATTTATCTTCTAAACTTATAAAAAAAAAGCTATAATTACTTATCACATAGGTAGGTGTATTATAAAAATTACAAAAGTCTACAGTATGGTATATTACACATTTAACCTTTATTTCAATAATAGATTTTACTATTCTATCCAGTCAGTGATGAAAGGAAAAGGTTTGACTTCTAAGTGGATATCTGTTAAATAAATTAGTAAAAAATGAATTTTTATAAGTTCTACACATGCCCTTCTTATTTTATTACATAATTTACTTCCATGTGTATCTATAATTTCAGTTCAAATGGTTCTTGGCTTCTATTTCAGGCAGCATTTGAAGTGCTTCTAGATGAAAAAGAAAAGCTCAGGTTGCCTTGGATGATATTGTAGTTACAGAAGGCTTTTGTCCACCACCAGGTAATGCTGGTTAAAATACAGTCAATATGAAAGTTAATGCTGCTTAGCTGTTTCTGAGTCATAAGAAAAGATCTACAGATTTATTACATTTACTCATGAGATTTTACATTAATGTGCACATGTTATTAAATTATTATAATCAATTAATATTACTAGTTAATTTAGTGACTACTCAATTTAAACATGAAGTGATCATAAAGCCTGAAAAAATCTGTTGTCACTTGGTAAAAACTTCTTATAAATAGACACAGAGGTTTAGAGTACAACTGCTGTTTTTTACTTTGTATATTCAACAAAGATATCAGATTTATGAAGTTCATCAGTTTTTGTTGTTTTTAAATTTTATAGGATGGCTGCATCTGAATCTTATGGTTTAGTGCTAAAATTATCAAATAGGCATCTTTTTTGTGACTGATTGTAATTATATTATATTGTTAGGATCAGAATGTTTTGGGTTGGATTAGATTTTATTGAGATCAATTATTATGTTTTATCACTTCATGCTTTGTAATTTTAGTTAAAACCTTAGCTCCAATAATGTATTTTATTTTTTGAGAAGAGACCAAATGAGGAATATAAACATTATTTCAATTTTATTTTTTAGGTTTCTGTGATTTTGAAGGTGAAAATTGTCTATGGCAGAATGTTCATGAAAACAAAGGTTTTCTATATGGTGAATGATTTTTTCTTTATAATTATACATAGAAAACTGTACAATAAGCTACTTGTTCACAAGAACTTGAGGAATTTAAGTACTATACAGTCTTAAGATATGATTAGCATAGCATACACATATGTACATGTACATATACATGTCAGTCTCTCAGCAAATAACTGTTTTTGTAAACAATACTTTTGGGCGTTTTTTTTTCTATCTAACCCTTTCACTGCTCAGGTAGGGTGGAAACCCTCCACCTCGTACACACACAAAAAAATCAAAAAATATTTTTAACTTATGAAATCATAGTATAGCATGCAAAAGTAAAGAATAAACACCAAAAGGTCATACAGTTACTTCTGTGTAGACTTGGTGGTTTGCTGGGTGAGGAGAGAGCAGGATTGGTCAGGTCTGGGGTGACCTTTACTGACTGAGAGATAAGATGGGAGGGTGAGCAGGACTTGTTTGTTTTTATCTTTTTCAGATGTGGTATCACATTCCTCTTATACACTGTCACAGTATTGGTTGTGAATAAAATGACTATATTGTACAAATAGTACATTTAGGACAGTAATATAAATCAGTAAAACTAGTGTATAAATGCCTAATTTTTACACTATATACATTTTTTCCTGCTGTGTATAGGTATCAGGGTAATATCTATGGGTCACTGGTACAACCAAATATCACCTGGGATTTCAAACAGTGGAAGGAAAACTAAAACATCATATGATGCATGGAGCAGTTAACTCCACACATCATATGATGTTTCCCTAGATCATATGATGTTTCCCTAGTTAACTGATGTGGAACAGTTAACTAGGGAAACATCACATGATGTGTGGAGCAGTTAACTAGGGAAATATAATATAATTTGTGGAGCAGTTAACTGGGGAATCATTATATGATGCATGGAGCAGTGAAAGGATTAATAATGTAAAACTTATCCAAAAAACTTTGAATCGGCATGAATTATTTTTGGATTTTAAGGTAAATTAATGTTTTAAATGATAAAAAGAAGTGATTTTGTTAAATTAAAAATAATTGTTTTTTATCTTTTTATATGCTTTACATGAATTTCAGCTTACATTAATCTAATATTTTATTGCAGCAGAGGATGAAAAAAAGAAGCATGCAGAAATGCGTATAGATGATTTTGATTGGCAAAGGCATATTGCTGAAGATAACATGGGTCCAATGGAAGACCATACTCTTGGGTCAGTGGAAGGTAAACATTTTTTTTGACAGAAAAAATATTCTCCATCTAAAATTATTTTGAATGTTATTTAACTAAATAAATGAAAAATTTACCTTTGGTGTACATGGGAATTTTGGCAGTTAGAGTCAGAACATTTTTATGTCAACTGAGCTTCTAAAAAATCCTTAATATTAAGAAAACCAAATACACCTGAACTGAGGGGGATGTATTTCATTATGTAATACTTTTTTAATAACACTGTAGAATTAATTTTATACTTTGAAAAATTAATTTTATATCAGCTGAAAATACAGGAAGGGTGAAAGTCTTTCAAATAATTCAGAAAAATAAAAAATATACTTAGATATTTTACACGAAAGAAAATGCATCTCTTGAGCAAATATTTGTCTTAAAATATAATTCATATAGATACATCCTTGGTATTTAGACAATACATTAAAAAGAAATGCAGTTACTGTATTTTCAAGATATGTTATGTATTTTTATGATATAATTCAAAATATTAACAAACTCTGAATAACACATGAGTCTTTTTTAAGATTCTGGACTGTTCACTGATATCTATTTTTTTCACGCAACTAAACTATAAAGTTCTATTATTGCATATATATCACTTCAGTTTTCTGGTGGAGTATATTTCCTGGCCTGGCATGGCCAGCTGGTTAGGGCACTCGACTCGCAATCTGCGGGTTCAAATCCCCGTCATACCAAACATGCTCGCCCTTTTAGCCCTGGGGTGTTATAATGTGATGGTCAATCCCACTATTCGCTG